CCTACCGGTACGAGGCTGCCACTCGAGAACCTTTCTTCCCCAACGGTTATCGGTTCTTCGAGCTATAAGGCCGGCCCATTGCCACTTCAGCTTACTAATCCGTTGGGCTATGTCAGTCACTCTCGTTCTACTGCGGATATCCTCATTTCTAAGTTTATCACGCAGAGAAACTCCGAGCATAGCCCTCTCCATAGCTCGCTGAGCGACTTTGAGCGTCCTCATACGGCCAGCAACTCTCTAAAACAGCACCTAGATGCGTCTCAGTAGGGAAATCCGTCTATAGTTCTTCAAAAAAGCGTTTTCGACTTTCTTAAAGAACAAGACCACAGCACTTCTGCTCCACGCCTCTGGAGTAGTGCCACCATAGAGGACGGAATTGAAGAGCTTCTGAAGGACTTCAAGTACCGGTGTTCTACCCGCTTTCAGAAGCTCCGCTATAATTCGATCCTCGCCTGGGGCTCTGCCGATTTTAAAGTGCTGGAGAGCCATCCTAATCTCGCTCAGACTGACGTCCGGGATATCATCGGGATAGTGTCGGATAAGACTTGCTCCTGGATCGTTACTCACATTTGTGGCTCCAACGAAGATGTGCACAGCTGCCCATAGAACCTCTCAATCTCACTCAAAATCTCAGGTGTCCCGGAAATGATGCTGCCACCTTCAATTTTCAGCTTTGACAGTTGGCTCTTTCTGGTAGACAAACCTCTGGAAAAGACTTTGGAGCCATGGTTCCGATCGATGGCTTCTTCAATACGAGCAGTATTAAAGTTGCGTAAGTCTCGCTGCCTGCAGTTGGAAATGTCTGTTCAGTTACCTGTATGCTTAATGATTTCTTAAATTTACGCGAACACTACACATTGAATAAATCTAAATTTATGGATCCTATCGCGTTTATTTAACTGTTATCTGTTGTTATCTGTATCTGTTGTTTATTTAAGTGTTAACTGTTTTTATGTTATCGCGTTTCGGGTGCTTTACAGCAACCATGGTCACGGGGGGACTGGACCCCCCCGTTAAATTTTAGTTTAAGTTAAAAAAAAGTTTAAGTTAAATAAACGCGGTAGAATCCGTAAATTTAGTTTTATTCAATCTACCTGTATGCTGTCAAATCTGTTGACGATTGCAGCCTCATCTCACGTCTAACAGCCATGAGATTAAGAGTGTGATCGGAGAGTTTTTGGGTTCTTCTGCGGCGGGTTTTGCAGAACTAAGCTCCGACCGCATGGACAGTTTCCATGAGCTTGTCATTCATATCGTCCACTTCATTTCAATCTTCTAGGCACTGAAAGCGGTTATGTAACTGAAAGGTTTCGAGATTCTGGATTTACGTTTAGATTAAGCGTGCCTCTAACCAATCGGTGATCGCTGCCAGTTTTTACCCTTGCAATCACTGAAACATCACTGAGCAGTTGGCGTCTGGTCGTCATAATGAATTCAATCCCATTTTATGTTGAACCGTCGGGGCTCAACTAGGTCCACTTTCTGTGTGGCCGCTTCTGGAAGAAAGAGTTCATCAGAAAAAGTCCCTCTTTCTCCACGAAGTCGGCCAGCTGCTGGCACCTACGGTTCCGTTGCCCTATCCCAAATTTCCCTACCTTCAGCTCACTGTTCTTTTTTGTGCCCAGTTTTGCGTTGAAGTCTCCCATTAACACCGTATAGTGAGTTTCGGAGGAGTGCATGGCTCTAAAAATATCCTTATACATTTCCTCCATCTCCTCATTGAGATGCTCCGACATTGGCTCATAAACCTGTATGACCTTCAGCGAATACCGTTTGGTGATTCTGAGTATAAGGTGCACAACTCTCGTCGAAAAACCCCCTGTTTGGGAGTGTATCGACGAGATACTTGTGGACGATAAATGCAACACCTCCTTGGGACAGATGTTCTCCTTCCTGGTGATAGAACAAGTTGCGGGATTTGAGAATCACCGTGTCCTCCCCCTCTCTTTGGACCTCGGATAATCCTATAATATTCCAGCGCAACTTGTCTATCTCTTCTTTCAGCTCCAGGATCTACTCGTCAGTCTTCAGGGTGCGTGCGTTATATTTTGCCAGGTCGTGTCATCGTGGGTGGCAACCGAACCTCCACCGGAGATTCTTAGCACCCCATTCCGCACCGTTACCATGGTTGCCACCGTAGCCAGGAATAGCGGGGCCGCCGGGGACTGAGGGCCGTCTTTTGCGTCGTTTTTCATGGAGGGTATATTGCTCCCTCTGTCGCCTCTTACGACACCCACGGTAAGATATGGGGTAGTGATATTCTTACCCGCCACTAGATAGCAAAATATACCTTCTTTGTTTACTGGTACTAAGATCTAAAGTAACCTTTAATAAATAGCAATAGGCTAATAGTTGATTGCGAGACTTGCGAGACTATTGCTGCTAGACAAAGACCAAGACTGGTAGCGCAATATCACGACCAATAGCAGGTGTATTGGCGCACGACCAAGACCAAGACTGGCTAAGTCTCGTCTTGTTCTTGCATTTGGGCAGCACTAGTGTTCATAAATACTAGCGGCTTATTTGCGACATGGACGTTACACATGACCTTTGTAATTATTCTGCTATTTATTCTGTATGTGGCCACACCACATTCTTCTCCAGTCGGGCTGACCCATTCTTGTTATAGCTACGTTGCAACGTGGCTCTGCCACGTAAAAACGTCTGTTTTATAAATTAAAATTATTTAATTATGCGATAAGTCAATTCTGGCAAGATGCCTTGGGACATAGCAGGTGATTTTACCCTGTACAAAACACAGAGGATCCAGTTGTAGGACACGCATAGGCAGTTACATATACTGTTATAATTTTACATTTTTTTAAATCCCGGCAAAACTTAATTTATACATTAAATATTGTTTTTTATTTAAATATTTATCACCACGATAACGTGGCAGACTCGTGCATAAATTTCTTCAAAGCTAAAAGCTTTAAATTTGGGGGTTATTAAATAAATTACCTTATTCCTGTAAAGAATAAATATTTATATAATAGTTTCGCAATCATAAAACGGAATAATATTGAAATAAGTAAAACCTTTAGCTTTAAATTTTGTAACTTTATCGGGCACAAATACTTAATAATATCTTAATAAAGAGGTTTATTTTTTGTTTCCAGCGATAACAATAAATAGTTTCGTCAGCATACCTAAATTACTCTTCTAAAAATATTTCAAAGTTTAAAAAATGATTCTAAAAATATCGAATAAGAAGTTAGTTCATAAGATAAACAGTAAAAAAAACTGAGCCGTTTTACTTATTTTTAGATGTTTGAAATCGCATTTTACAATTATTTAAATGTTTCATTCTTACTGTAATGCTCACCCCCCTAACTCTATATAAATAAATGTATTAAATATATTATGTATAATTAATTTACCCCTTTTAAATAGAATTATATATTTGTGACCAGGATAAATGAAATATGTTTTGATGTTTATAAATGATCTTTCAAAAGGTTTAATAATAGGCCGTTTGTAATATTTTGGCGTGATCATCTTAGTTAGGGCCCTTATTTACGTTGTGTTTGTTTAGTAACTTAGTTCTTTCGGATGTCTTTTGGAAGAATGACTATTCACTAGAGCAATTGAAAGCACACTCATCCCAATCCGAAAAACAGACGACGCATCGCTATGCGCCACGATGCCGCCCACAAACGGTATGGATGTGCGATGTCCACGGGAAAGCCGTATTGCTACAACAAACCCGCTTACCACCGGCACTAAGATGATATGTCTAGGACACATCGGTTAACGTTTCCAAGTTTACTTCGGACCAATAGCTCATGAAGCAGCATACACACCACCATAATAATAATTTTCAAGTACTTTATATAGGACTAGTCATTTTGCTACAGTACTAAGAGCAGTCGGTCACCCGACCACCTCATACAATGCTTATGCATCAAAAAGACCTACTATAATAATGCTTTTGTATCATAGACCTTACTGTTATATGTCTTTAATATATAGGACTTCAACCCACGACCCTATTATTGTAATTTTGTAATGAAAATTCATCATAGAGACCTTCTACAGTATAGCTTTTGTATCATAGAGCTTACTATCATAAGTCCCTAATATAGGACTAGTCATCGTGCTACAGTCCTTCAAGCAGTCGGGCACCCGACCACCTCATATATATGTACAACATTTGGTATGTGTCTCCGGCAGCTCCTCCATACAAGCCATCTATACATGAACACCTTCCATATCTTAGGAAAATTTTCTTTTATACATGAACTCCTTCCAAGACTTAGACAATTTTTAACAAATTTTCTAATTATCTTATAAATGATATTTATCTTTATTTTTAAAATATTTACGACTTGTATTTCTATTATTTATCATATTTAAATATTGTTACATGTTTTTTTAATAAATTCATTTATTCTTAAAGACAATATTTTATCTTAATTTTACTATAATACTTAATGTCTGAAATGTATTTATTTTTAACTTTATGCTTATTAATGTAATTTTATTGTTTAATATATTTTCAAATATTATGACATCGTCAACATACAATAGTAAATAAATTTGATCACTATTAGTGTACTTTCTATAAAGACAAGAGTCACAATTAGATCTAACAAAACCTTCTTTAAGGATAACAGCCTTGAATTTAATATTCCAGCACTTAGGTGCACTTTTCAGATCGTAAAGTGCTTTATTTAATTTTTCAATATTATTACCTATGTAAGCTCCTTCAGGCAATTTTATATAAACATTTTCATTAATATTTCCATACAGAAACGCCCCTGTTACATCCATTTGAATTATAGGTAAATTAAGTTTAGTTGCTAATGCTACAAATAACCTAACAGTTCACAATTTTGCAACTGGAGCATAAAAATCATTAAGTCTAAAATATCATCCTAGTCGAACCCTCTCGCTACCAATTTAGCTTTATATTGAAGAAAATCTGAATCTCCCCTTTTAATTTTAAATACCCACTTAAAACTCACAAGCTTTTCATTTTCTGGTACATCACATATTTCCTAAGTATTAAATTCTTCTGGTGTTTGCATCTCTCTATCGATCGCCTCCTTCCATTTGATGCTGTCACTTCTCATCATAGCATCACCATAAGCGACAAGTTTACATTGTTCGGTATGCACATTTTGGCAATGATAGTAAACAGGTGGCTTCCTAATTCGTTTGCTGGGTTCTCTTTGGCATACCCCATCAATTGGTTCGACTGAGCTGTTACTTGATTCACTTGGACTGTATTCAGAACCAGACTCTTCAGATATACTCGCAATCACCATAGTTTCATTTAGATTTGCTCATGTAGTTTCCGATTCTAATGAATAATTGAAACTCATTACTTTTGTCATTATTTTCTTCCGTATAGTTCAATTTTACCTCGATTTCACTATAGTTTTGTTCTTTTTCTAAGAAAACTACATCTCGTTTGAATTCTACATCATTTCTATGTGAGAAGTATATTCAATATCCTTTAACAGTTTCGCCATAACCAACCATTACTCTTTTTTCTCCTTTGTTATCCCACTTATTTCGCTTTTCTTTAGGAATGTGTGCATACACTGGTATCCCGAATGGTTTCAACTGATGAATGTCAAAGTTTTTTCCAAATCACACCAAATATGGCGATTTTTTTGCTGTCGTTACTTTTACCGGTCCTATTCAAGTCAAATACTGCTGTGTTTACAGTCTCAGCCCACAATGATTTTGGTAAATCCTTGCATGCATTCAGCATTTTGCGAGCGGATTCGACTAGCGTCTTTCTTTCGTTCTGCTTTTCCGTTCTGTTCTGGGGTGTAGGAGACACTTGTTTGATTTATTATTCCGCGTTTAGTAAAGATATCTTTAACCTCCTTATTTATAAACTCAAGACCATTATCAGTTCTGAAGATTTTCGCCTTATTTCCAGTCACATTTTCTGCCTTGTTAACGAAATCTTCAATAGAGTACTTTATATCAGACTTATTCTTGACAAAATACACCAATCTATAGTTGAAGATGTCATCTTTTAATATTACAATGTACCTTGAACCGCCAACTGACGTAACCTCCATAGGGCCGCAGGTATCCGCGTGGATTAATTAACACGTTTTTGTGGTGACGTTTTCACTCTTCCCAAACGGCAATCTTTGTATTTTTTACCTTCTAAACAATTCTCACATTTTGTAGCCGAAGTTTGTTTCACGTCAATGTTATGTTTCAACAGTACCTTTCTTACTTATTCAAAGTTTTGGTGTGCCAATCTTCCGTGCCACTCTTGCAATGTGCTTTCAACTTTCTTAGCTACATTAGCCACTTTGTTTTTATAGCGTTACTCCAAAAAATACGAACTTTCAACTCGTTTTGCAATTGCACAAACTTAATTGTTTTTATAAAACTGACACGAGGTGTCATCTGTCAATATAACGTATCCTTTGTCTGATGCACAGTTTACGGAGAATAGGTTTTTTTTCAATTTCGGCACGAACAGAACTTTGTCTACGGTTGTCTGTACCCACTCAGTACCGTCATACACCTCTACTGCCATCTGTCCGTAGCCTAGAACACTAATCGCCGCTCCATTACCGACAATAACAGACTCTTGTTCAATGTCGGTAAATGATGTAAATAATGCACGATCACGGCACATGTGTTTACTGGCCCCCGAGTCTACTATCCACTGAGATTGACTATATTCTTTTGATGAGTTTGACACCACGAATACGTTACTTTTATTGTTACTATTCTTACGTTCTTTGTTCTTCTTAAACCAGCACTGTGACTTATTATGTCCACTCTTGCCACAATAAAAACACTTGTTATTCTGTCCTTCACTTTTCATGTTACTTTCACACTAATGTAATGTCCCATTTTATTGCACTTAAAACATTTAATATTCTACTTAACATTAACCAGAAATGCAGATGAGCTTGAAGGTGAACATTGTCTATTTTTCTCTTTTAGCCTTTCTTCTTCTACCAGTAATCTTGCAACTAAATTGTTCATTGTTTGTTTATTGTCCGGGGCTGATTCCCAAGCCGACACAAAATGCTTATACTCATCTGGTAATAACATTAATACTTTAGTTATCACAAACTTGTCAGAAACTTCTTCTCCCATTTGTTTAAACTGATTTTGTAAATCCTGGATTTTTGATAAGAATATTGACATTTCAATGCCTGTTTCAAACTCATATTGAAAGAAGCGCTGTTGAAATATATGAATGTTTGTTTCTGTTTTTTGCTCATAAACACTTTGCAGCTTTTTCCTTTGAAGTAGGACACGAAATAATATGTAACATTACATTTTCTGTCATCCTTGTGACTAATAGCGTTTGTGCCTTTACGTTTTTATTCTCCCAAGCGGTTTGTTCAGTGGGATCTTCGGGTTTTAAAGTTCTTCCTTCGACAATATCCAACCAGCCTTGACCTCGTAGCAAAACTGTAGTTTGGAACTTCTAGATGTTCCAGTTGTTAGCTCCTTCCAGCTTCATCTAGCTGTTATTTGTGTTTAGATTGATTTCCATTTCGCTATCCTGTCTTACGTCCACCACGAAAAGTTAAAAACTTTAAGAATAAAGACCAGATCCTCCTCTGGGGTTGGGAAAGATAGTGCCTCCGAGCACTCGTTTTTCCTGGCCCCATTACCTCCGCGTATCGAACTAGGGAGGGTGCGTTACGTACATGAAATTGGAGGCCGAGGAGGAAGCCGCGCCTTGTTTACCTGATGCGTCTTACGCGAGAAGGATAATGGGGCGCTGATGAGGCCGCGGGTGTGTGCAAAATCATTCCCGTGGCTCAGCCAATATGCGGCGACGAAACATCATGGGTTTGTACTCAGTGCGAGTTCGACATAACTCATCCTTGCCCTTACGAGTCGGGTATGCGTAAGCATTTCCTCGTGATAAAAAACCCATAGGCCGCAGTAGCCATTTCTTCTCAGGTTAGTTCGTTTGTTATTATAAGAAGTTAAGTATAATGTATAATATGTTTAAGTATAATAGCTAAATATGATTAATTTATTCATATGGGGTAGAGCCACGCTGCAGCAATTTTGCAGTTGTAGTAAGAATGGGTCGACTCAATCGGGGTAGGACCATGCTTTCACAAAATACCAGTGTAAAATAGAAGCTCGATGATGCTATGTTCCGTATGGAGTTTAGGGATTTGGAGAAACATTTTACTGGAAACGAGGCATTCTTTCTCAGTCCTCAGGGGTGACAACGCATTTGAAATCTTAATTGTGGATAAATGTAGATGCATATGGGCCACAGCATTCACATACCATCAGGTAGACTGTGTGCTCGTTAGTCACGAATAATCTATAAAATAATAACAAAAGAAGTAGATTTACTCGCTACTACTACTACCACTAATACTTCTTCAGTATAGATAATATTTTTTATTTTCTTATGCCTCTTTTTTAGTGATACAAGAGACAGAAATATTACATTAATTCATAACAACCTATCTAGAGTTTATTGACTACTAAATCAATTGCTTTATAGGGGTTATTTGTCAGAGCATTATTGTTTCGAATTGTTAACAGTAAGATACTGACACTTAAAGCTGATAAACTTCTATAAAATGAAAATAAACTGCATCATGAGCCAGATATACGTCACATATTAGAATTCCGGTATTCGAACAATACGAAAATATACTAACGGAGATCGTGTCATTGCATATAGTAGGGACGTATTAACGTATATACATGAAGTATTGTGCTGCCTCTCACCGACACTTCACAACATGCCTACGTGACCGGGCTTTGATCTTTATTTTATTGTCTACACGATGCAGACGCGAGGAGCTTTCACTATTACACTTTAAATAATGTAGTTAGTATCTTGTAGACTTATTTTAAAAAGTTGCTGCAAGTAGATTGTGAACAATCATTTTCATAAAATTAGTTCCTACTGGCTGGTTGTATTTAATAATAATAATATACGACCAGTCCACTGCAGTATATGGGCCTCTTTCCCTATGTTGGGAGAATTAAACAAAGTTAGCAGGCTGATTGGTGAATGCAGACGTCTAAAACTTTTAACGCTGCCCCTCGTTGCCGGTCAGGTTACATCAGGCATATACCCCTGAACCCATTGAACCGTGTAGTAGCGCTTTAAAAATATCCACTACCCCATATCATCCCTAGGTGTCCCCCCGTGATCACGGGTGCTTTAAAGCACCCGAAACGTCGGGATAATAAAAATAAATTAAAGTTGAATTAAACGCGATAAAATCCGTAAATAATAGTTTTATTCAAAGTGTCTGTTAGCTTATCTTCTACAGAGTCTAAATATATTGCCATTTGTATGGCAGCCAGTGAAGCCTATTGGCTTGTTAATTTGTTACAAGATTTCAAAATAAATAATATATGTCCTAAACACATCTATTGTGATAATCAATCAGCTATATCTGCTGCCTGTACTGATACTATCAAACGATTAAAACATGTTGATATCCGTTAACGTTTTATTTTTAAAATTAATTAAAAATAAAACGATATGTTTAAAATATTTTAAAACAAATGATCAACCTGCTGACATGCTTACAAAATCTTTAAGTAGAGAATTGATAAATCATTTCTTATAAAATGTGGTATAGGTAACATTGATAAAATTTAGTACTTACATATTTGTTTTGTAAATCAGTTTGATTTTGGGCAATTACATTGAGTGCGGGTGTTGAGAATATGGCAATGTAATTTCACCTTAATTTAAATTTCGGTGTTGGTAACCTCTTCATTATAAATTGTCATGGCGTGCACAAGGTGTTCAAATAAAAACCATTTTCGCTTATAAAACTGCGTTATTTATTTTATTACAACAGTATGAATATATTTATTTATGTATTTGTTGTGTGTACACACACACACACACACACACACACACACACATACATATATATATATATATATATATATATATATATATATATATATATATATATATTTATGCTGCATATGTATTTAGTGTTATCCCTATATGTTTTGTATAATAACAAAGTGCACACCTTCTAATCATTTATTAATCATATATCATTGAAACTGGCCTACTGAAGAAATTTAATTATGAGATAAGTAGAGCTCTTGTACAAGTTTTTCATCATTATGTATCCTCTCTCTTATTTGTGTGTACATAAATTGTTAATGAAATAAAATAAATGAATATAGTATGTAATTATTTATTTATTTATTTATTTAAACTTCATACTATATTGCCTGCAGCATTCTCTACCAGTCAACCTTTGGGTGATGCAGAGATAAAAATATGAAGTAGGTGTGATAAACGCTTAAGGCCCCA